GTGTTGAAGGCTTTGCACAAGTCAAAGAGACAATCAAAAGGCCAGACATGACTCTTCATAGCCTCTGTTTAGTCTTATTATTGTAATTTTTGGTTTTTAATGTTGAGGTGAGAAGGTAAACATGTGGTTTAAGGCTCATTGCTCTCTTATTTTTGAATATATTTATAACTCATTCAAAGAAAAAAGAGCCTTTAACATGTATTAATCGTGGCTTAGTAGTCGCTCTTCGATATAGATGCGTTCAAGTCTTGAAAACATTTCTCCAAAGTTTAATCCTTAATCAAATGACAAGTCTAGTCAGATTAATTAGATTTATTTATATTCTTGAAATAAACCACACAGTTTTTTGCAAGCCCATGGCCTTAGGTGTTTGTGGTGGGCTGTATTGTTGTAGTTGGTTTGTATTTATTGTACTTGGAGTATTCTCTGTGTATTTGTCTTACCGTTGTCACCATCTCATTAAAAACAGAGAATGTTAGAGGAACGACTTAAATTTGAGAAGAAAGTAATTCTTACGGAAAGCAAGAAATATTCAAACAAAATATTTCTGGAATTCCATTGTTCTGTTTTGGAGTTAAGGGGCCTGGGTGAATCACAAGTCTGTGTTGTGAACATGTGTGTCTACTTGTCCCAGGGTAAATAACAGATGTTAATGCAGGAAATGTGTGTTGTAACTGAGTGTAATGGGTATCTGATATCTAAATATCCTTGCAGTTTTTTTTCTGTCTGCTAAGCAGAACACATAAGAGCATGGAATGTCATCTCTGAAATACGAAATCCTTACTGGTGTTATTTGGAAGTGAGCATTTGTATTTATGTAGATTGTATTCACACAAATTTGTGTGCTACTGAATGAAATACATCACAGCAGTGTCTAACGTTCTCCCCAAAATTGCCATTTAGATAAACGACCATTTCTCATGAAAATATGGGAATTGAATACATCAGGCAACACACATACAGTAAAAGCTGTTTGTGTGTATTTAGCTAAAAATTGTGTCTAAAATATTTATCTTTTTCTTAATTCCTAGATACAAGATTCTGCTACCCTAGACATAGAAAGAGCAAACAAAGAAATTGAAATGCTTCGGAAACAATATGAGGCAATGTCACAAGAACTGAAGGAAGCTGTCCAGGAAGCAGAAGTAGCCAAGTGTAGGAGAGATTGGGCCTTTCAAGAGCGGGATAAGATTGTTGCAGAAAGGGAAAGTATACGGTAAACAAATGCTAGATGGTACTTGAGTGATCTTTTGTATCACCTTGTGTGGGATTGATTCGGTTCTAGGACTTGCTGGATATTCCTAGAACCTTCTTCAACTTCTGCATTACTTGTCACAGGGTGTGTTTTTTTTTGGTTTTTTTTTGGTTTTTTTTTTTTTTTTTTTTAAATTGAGGGCACCTTATAAGATACTTGGTTTGGTCTTTCTTTTGTAGTCTTAATATGTCTGTAATAAATACCATACCACTGCTATGTAGGAAAACCAAATTATGTATTCTTTTAAGCATGATATACCTAATACTGCTATAGCTGTAGTGCTGCAAATAATTCTTTAACTGTGGGGACATTTTGCAAAAAGTACCCAACATATTTGCTACTAAACAAATCTAAGGATCTAAGAGAAAATACTTTAATCACTATTTTTTTTTCTGCTAGTTTAAAGAAGATAAGTGGAAATAAAGTTTTGAAAGGGATGAAGAATGTAATTTTGTTTTCTTCCTTATACTTTTTTTTTTTTTGAGAGGTCTTTTTCAACTGCTTGTTGAAATTTTGCACTAACCGCCCTATGTGGTAAGACTAGTTTGTTACTTTGATAGGATTTTAAGTATCTAAATTGAAACTTCTTGGCCTTTGAAGGACTCTGTGTGACAACTTAAGGAGGGAGAGAGACCGGGCTGTGAGTGACTTGGCTGAAGCTCTTCGCAATCTGGATGACATGAGAAAGCAGAAGAACGATGCTGTTCGTGAACTGAAGGAGCTGAAGTATGTTAGAGAAGTGATCAAACTGCACGGTAGTTTGTGATAAAACCTCTGGTTTGGTAGCTGTGTTTGCAAGCGAATCCTATGTTATTATAGCTGTGGGCAGCAGGTGTTTATGATACTGTAGATTGAAACCTTGCCTATATTTTTAGTTATGATGAAAATTAATTACGATGGGCAGGAACCTAAGCCTTTACTATCTTAACAATTTTATCGTATTAATGAGGCACATATTCTAAGCTTTGTACTGTGGAGATAACTCTGAAACACTATGGGATTCTTTCACTGAAGTCATATTAACTGCAATTTAGTTCCCCCAACTGTATTCTCACTGTTTTATGAATGCAAGGAAGATGTGGATCATATGTCATCTCAATGGGTTCTGGTTTTGCTGTTGTTTATCATGCCCTACTTTTCCTGAGCATACTGATGCCGCTCATCTGAGAGTGAATTAAATGCATTTTGGGAGATTTTAGAAACCTAGTTGTGCACAATCATGTAAAAAGAAAGCAAAAAATATAATATTGTATTAGGACAATATATAGAAAAGGGAAGTCAATTTGATAGCAGGCCAAGAATATTGGAAAGATGGAAGCATGAGGCAAATTTTTGACACAGCTTGGATTTTTGATTTAGAAAACAAAATATATGGTATCTCACAACAATAACATTTTGTATCAGTTTATTTAAAAAGGTTGTTCATGTCTATAAATAATTATTTTTCTTGGCCTAGGGAGAAGATGGAGAATCAGTTGGAAAAGGAGGCCAGATTCCGTCAATTGATGGCCCATAGTTCCCATGACTCAGCCATAGACACAGATTCGTTGGAATGGGAAACAGAAGTGGTAGAATTTGAAAAAGACAGAGTAAGTAAAAAATAATGAACTGCATTGTCTTATGTATGGGATAGCTTTGAAGTAAATTATAATGTCTTGATACTAGGTATGATTAAAAATAATCTCTATTTTTGTTAGTTCTATTTTGTTGTTGTGTGAGGAACCACACACACGTATGCAGCAAGTGTGGTAATACCTAGATGAAAGTAATTGGCAAAACCAAGCTGTTAGACAGAAGCTTTGTATTTTTATTCATATGAAGTACAAATAGAAATAGTTCCTTTGTCTGATTTTGCAGGGTACCCAGGTCCATGTATTATAAAAAAAATGTTTTAAGTTAAATTTTTAGTGTTCTTAAGGTTAGTGAAATTTAAGATTTGATGGAAATGCATCAGAGCCCAGTCCTATACTCTTACAGCAACATCACTTATAATCTTTGCATAAAATAGTTAAGTTTTTACATGAAGTTATTGCTCCTACTTTTGCTCAGATTCAGTGATTAGAAATTTTAAAGTATTAAAAGTATTTATTCACCATGAACATATATTTTAGGGCAACATAGCCCTTCACCTTAAAAATCTGGAATGAAAGGTGATGCTAATATCTCCTGCATGTCTGCACAGGAAGTTAAAACTCTTTTCCATTTTGGCATTTTAAGTAAAGTTGTTATATTTAGCTTTCCAGATAACCTCTATATCCTTTCATTATCATAGTAGTCCTGTTCTCCATTTAATTTTATTTTTCTTCATTGTTGTCTAGAATTTTTATTTCACTGTTTTGTATGCAAAACTTGTGTGCTATTCTGTTTGAAATTTTTGGTTGGCACATCACGTTGTTTGCTGATAGTAATTTTTTTGACCATATAGAACACACAGGTGGTGTTCCATATTGTGTTTCATTTATAACACCTTCTGCATATACCAGAATTTCATTCTCATTCCTGAATGATAAAGTTTGTGATTTAATGCTGTCAAATTAAATCCCTTTTATTTTACTGCAATATTTGGGGTCATCAGATTTTATGCTGCTCCAATCTGTCTGTGTTCTGGCAGTGCATCCCAATAAAATCACTAATACATTCCTTTTTTGACACTAGAAGTATTATATAGTATTATTAGTTTCTGGAATCTATAGTTTGAAAAGACTATACGAATTGAGCACCAGTGCTGGTCCATCAGGACCACCATCTGTAAAATCTTTCTGGGATAACAATTTTTACCATGCTTTTCCATCTCGACCAGCTCCATCATTGTATTTTGTGCATTGCCATCTTCTCCATTTTCACTGCTAACTAATAATTTAGCTTTTCCATTGTCTGTAAAATTAGTTAGCAAGTCTAGGATATACTGTACCTGTGGTAACCAACATTGCAGCCTGCTGAATTTTCCATTCACCTGCAGTTATTTAGGCATTCTTTACTTCAGAGCTTGTTCTAAAGGTTTGCATCACTGAGATCAAATGCATAGACTTTGTAATTTGAGTATACATTTCCCTTTCCCAAACACAGGGATTACACTTGCTGCTATCAAATTATAGTAATAATATTGTGCCAACCTTGATTTAGATATATGGGAAAATCCTTGCTGACCTAATTTGAATTCCAGGATGGACATTATAGAGTTGAATACATTTAAATCCTTTTATTTTTGCTTCAGCTTCACCTGTCTGCTTAAGCTTATGTTCTACATAAAGACTCTGCTCAGAACTGAGAGAAATAATGTTTACTTTTCAGCTCTGAGGCTGTACAATGATGCTGTGATCTCTACTTGAAGTTTATTTTATGGCAGCCCCATGCTCTTCTGTACGAACTTTTTTCTTACATTAAACATTTGGAAGAATGATAAGGATTTTAGTATATTTTTGACACTTTTAATGCAATTTAATTTCTGGTAAATATTCATATTTTTGTATGTTTTCGCTTCAGCTTTTATCCGACGTTTTTTGCACTCCCTGAAGATTTTATGCTTTTCTGATTTTAAGGGTATTAGTCATCGAACTACGTATAGAACCTGTCTGGTTTAAGCTCTGTTTAGGTTTTACATATTGGATTTTAAATTTCAAATATCATCTCCCTTCAGTATGCTGAGGTGGTTGGTACAGTTGATTTCAAGTAGAGTTCTCTCAGTTTTATAAGTGTACTATTTAACACTGAAATTAGCAATAAATCACTGTGTGATCAGTTGGTCCCAGTTTATTTTCTTCAACTGTTTTGCCGTTTACCAAAGCAAACACTAAATTAATATTTCCCTGTTTGTTACAGTGACTGATTTATTAAAAGATTATTATCACTTTTCCCAATGAGAATGATTTATTAAAAGATTATTATCACTTTTCCCAATGAGAATGATTTGTTTTGGTCCACGGCTGGTAGACTACAGTCTCTAATCTGTGTTTAGAAACTGGGCCCATAATATCAGAACTTTCTTTCCTGTTTACTTCTGGTCTTTAACCATATCAAAGTGGATGTCTTTCTGAGTTCGTCATTAAGACACAGTGCTGCTTCCTTAAATTTACAATTGTGTTTTCTCCAAGTAATGCCCATTTTTGGGGAACATGTCCTTGTTCTGTCATTACACATCATACCTTAAAACAGGTTATATGTGTCTGAACTTGCTGTCTCGCATGCTCTTCTGCTTTCCTGTTCCACTTTGGTGAAGTTCCCCTTCTGTGTTATTTCAACCTTAATCTAAGAGAGAAAGATTGCTGTGATGCCAGAAAATGCCTAATAACTAATGGATTTGGGAGCTTATATATTGAAATAGAAAATATAAAACTTTGCCTAGAAGAGGTACCTTGTAAATATAAGTGCATAGTACCAACATGCAGTAATACGTCTTACTAACAGACAGCAGAACAGTGTTTGCCAGGGCAATTGAGTCATTTGTTAATAATATTTATTAGGATGATATGGACTTGAAAGCACTTGGTTTTGATGTGGCCGAAGGCATGAATGAACCATACCTCCCTGGAGACTCTGGGATCTTTGTTACCAAAGTAGACAAAGGAAGTATCGCTGATGGTCGGTTAAGGTAGGGTTTGACTTTGGAAAATACTTGACTTCTGTTGATCATAACAAACTAAACATGAGCACATTGTAAATTGTCTTCAGTTTTTCCTATTTTTTCAAACAACTTTTTTATTGCTGGTCATGTGTGTGTTATTCATGTTGGTTGGGAAATCACACAGAGAAGACCAGTGCCTAAAAGCATTATAGAAATTAGCAGTTTGACTCATCCCTTAACATTTCAAATTCTGCTGAGATTTATTTAGTTTCTCTGTCTCACCTACTGCCTTTAATATCTCCTCAAACTTTGATCTATTTATTTAAATTTTGGGAAAGACATGAGGGTGATCTGCTTATGGGAGGGCAAGGGGAAAGTACCGGAGAGCAATGGATAATTTGAAACTTGCTCTAGTTTTTAGTGTTGATAGGAGGTTTTTAATAACTGCTCTGTCCAAAGAGTTGCTTTTAAATAAGGAGTAGTCATTAGTGATTTGAGGATAAACTTTTATTTAATGCTTTTTCAGGAACAGAGGACTCCAGACAATTAAGGATTAGTGTATGGAGATCAACTCCATTTTCATGAATGTTACTTATGTCCTGTGTCAAGCTTATAAAACTGACCTGCTTATTTCTGTCTATCTACCAGAGTGAATGATTGGTTGCTGAAGATAAATGATGTGGATCTTACTAATAAAGATAAAAAGCAAGTTATAAAAGCTGTTCTCAATGGAGGAGGTGTCATTAACATGGTGGTACGACGAAGGAAGTCCTTAGGTGGGCGAGTGGTAACACCTCTTCACATCAATGTTTCCGGACATAAAGGTAATGGCTATAAAGGATGTATGTAAGTGGTACGTGTTTGTTCAGCCAAAAATGGCTTGACATAAAGGTACATGTTCTGAGCCTCTGCTTAAGACCTGCTTAAACTGTTACTTCTTCCTAGGTAGGGCTTTTCATTAGTTTTTTGGTTTGGTTTTGGTTTGTTTTTTAGCTAATATTGATGATAGCTTTATTCTGCAAATACTGGTTTTCTTTTCTGTTCTTGAGTGGGTTTTGGGTTTGTGGCTGGTGGGTGCTTCTTTTTTTTTTAATGATTATTATTTATTTTTAATACTTAGTTCTAGTTAGTTGCCTCTCTGGAGTATTACTCAGAGTCTAAACAAGACTGTTAAACCCATCAGTCACCCCAGCTCCCCAGCTTTGTATGATTATATTAAATTTTGGGATATCCATAATCCCTGTTTTCCCCTGCTGTGTTCTTATTTCTGTAAAAGGTTTTTCAGAAATTGAAGTTCACTTGGTTTGGTAGTTACATTTCTTTCTCATGCAGGCAGGTCAGACATGTTGTTTGAGCAAAGTATTTGAATTGCAGGAGTAAATTAATTTTTTGTGTATTTCAGATAGTGGGGTCAGTCTAGAAAATGGAGTATTTGTTGCTGCTGTTGTGCCTGGAAGCCCAGCTGCCAAAGACGGTTCACTTACTGTGGGAGATAGAGTAATTGCTGTAAGTCTTAAGAATACATTCTCCTTTTTTTATTTCTTGTTTATTTAAAAGTGGTGTCATTGATACTACTTTCTAAAGTCCCAGGCTTTCAAATTAATTTTTTAGTTTTGCTGTGTTATACCATTCTTGTATATTCATTAAATATTTATTATCAATTAATGTGTTTGTAGGCTGAGTGATTAATATAATGTGCAGGTTGTTTGCTACACTTATGTCATATGAAAATTATTGGTAGATACTGACTTCACACTTGGCTTATATATGTTGATACTTGTGATTTTTTTTTTTTTTTTTAAATACTGAATAGAAAGGTCAGTTCCAAAAAGATGTCCCTTTGTTGGATGAAAGGTTTCTTGTGTTTTAAATTACGCTATTACAGATGTCATCTTTCTACGGTGTGAATTTTTCCCTACTTGCATTTGCATCTTTGAACTACTTGTGTGGTATATGAACTACTGTGAAATGAAAGGTGGTTACTGTTGATGTAGTGACTAGAGTAGAGGCTAACGTGGTGAAACAGGTGGTGTTACACTATATGTGTAGGAGGACTAGCAGGATTGTGGAGAACAGAGTAAGACAGGACCAAGTGAACCAGCCTTCAGTCACGTATACCTATAAAACTAGTCTTGTCCCTGTCTTGGAGTTGCTGCCCTAAGGTGCTCCCCACCTGCTCCCTTTGACTTACGAGTGTCTGTTGTGTTATTTTTGTGTGCAGATCAATGGCATTGCACTAGATAATAAGTCACTTACTGAATGTGAAGCTTTGCTACGAAACTGTAGGGATTCCCTGACCCTGTCACTGATGAAGGTGAGTAGGAGAAGCTAAATTTGCAGAATTTTCTTCAACTTATACAAAATTATTTTAATTGTGCAGGGAAGAGTATATGAAAATATTAATATATCATTATGTCCAAGTCTCCTAAAATTAAGTAGGAGATATAACTTACTTACTGCTCTTATTTCTTTCCCATTTGTTTGCTGGTCACATGAAATGACTCCTAGCACAATTGCTTCTTTCTTCTTGATTTCTGCTTTAGAGCTGCAGCATTTTTGTACATGAAAGATAGACTGCCTCCTGACTACAGAAAGGTTTGCTTTTAGTCAGGAGGGACTTGTGCAGAAAACTGAACTCTGACTATCATGAGGATTAAGTACAAGGCTTTCTTTTTCAGGCTTATTGCTCTAAAAATATTATTCTGGTTTGCTTATTGAGTTTAGAATCCCATTACGCTGAGCCTGTCACATGGCCTTTGTGAGTGATAATTCCAGCTTCAGAGATCTTGAGGTTTTAAAAAAGTAAAAAGATGAAACATTCAGAGGAAATGGGCAATGAAAGATGACTCATTAGCATCACTTAACAGAGGTACAAGTAGAATGCAGATCCTTTTACTGTCAGTTCAGTGCTTTGCTACCGTGTGGAGTTGCCCTTCTGGAATTATTATGAAAATGTTTAAAAACAAATTCCTAGATCCATTTTATCTGATATTCTGTGCTTTGAATCTGTAAGATGTTATTAAACCTTTCCCAACTGTGTACATGTCTTTGTGTATATTCTGGTATAGGTAAATCAAATATGACTCATAATAAATAGAAGTCACACATAATAATAAGGTGATCACGTGTTTTCTGTTGTAGGTTTTTCCTCAGAGTTCATCTTGGAGTGGTCAAAATATATTCGAGAATCTGAAGGATTCAGAAAAAATATCAAACTGTAGGGTCCATGCATCAGAGATACAAGCCCAAAATAAAAGAAACCTGAAACTCAATAGCTCAACACAGACTGACATTTTCAATCCAGACATCATGGATGGCAAGAAGGACCAGAGTGATCAGGGCAGCGGTTCATTTTGCGATCACAAACCTTTCCCTAATAACACATTACGAGTAGACTCCTGTAGGAACACGGTGCACAGTTGCCACAGCAATTCAGAACACAGTCTCAGCTCCTTCAGCCCAGAGACATATGGGGACCGAGGCTATGGAGCTGTTGAACTGGACAACAGGAGGCTGCCTTATGAACCTGCAGGAGCCGACTGTATGATGGTTGAGACTGCATTTGACAAAGGACATGGAACTAAGCATAGTGGTGGTACCTGGCCAAAAGTCATGGTTAATATCTCAGCAACAGAAACAGAAAAGTTCACTGTGTACAAAAAGCCAAAACAAAGGAAATCTATCTTTGACCCTGACACTTTCAAAAGACCACCAACTCCTCCCAAACTGGAGTACCTTTCCCCTAATCAGGTGACAGGCCATTCACCTCAGCCATCAAAAGCTGAAGTGGCTTCAACACCTCCAACTCCTCCTAAGAGAAGTGACTCTATCAAATTTAAACATAAACAGCAGGCAAGCTCTGCATCAGAGTCTACGGTAACAACTGGATCACCGCCCACCAGCCCGGCCACTGCCCAAGCTCCAGTTTCCTTGGCACTTAAGCAGGACTCTGCTACTCTGAAGGGGCGCGGCAGGAAGCGCGGAAGGAAGGCTGGGCATTATTATCGAGAGGAGGGAATTGACTGCACTCATCTTTCTTCAAGGAAATCCTGTGAAGATGACATTGGCTTTCAAAGAGTTGAAGAGCCAGAGGTTAAAAGACCAAGGCCAAAATCAGCTCCTGCTCTGAGGCATAAAATGACCCCTATGCCCATTCCTAGTCCTGCACTTCAGGTAGAAACTTGATATATTAAAGTGTAAAACTTGAAAACTTAAAGTGTATTTTCAGTGTGGTTTTGCGTGCCCAGTTACATGCCATAACAGGAGAAGCATAGCCCGTTCTCAGAATTGGGGTCCCCTGAGAAGCTACCCCAGACTAAGTTGGCACTTTGCAGTATCACAAAATACAAAACTGATTACTGGAGTTCCAGTATTTAACTGCAGTGGTCACTGTGGTGGCTGTCAAACAGAATGATAGCAGCCACATCTTGTTTTTAATGCTGCTTCTTGGAATCTGGATTCGTTCTTGTATGCTTTTGGCAACCTGAAAAAGATTCAAATAAAAATGCAAAGAGGCAGCTTTAGAAAACCTGAAAACAGGTCCTCCTCTAAGTTTTGCCAAAGTCAGATTGATTGTGCAGCTCACTGTAAAAATTAATGCAAAAAGGTATACCCTTCAGTGTTGTTTTTAAGTCTGTGTATCTAAATAATTTTACAAATGTGATAAAAAATTCATAGTCTTAAGCACATTACACCGTAAAGTTGGACTGTTTATGAGAATATGATTTAATAATACAGCTCAAAATGACAGTGTAATATGATAGAATGAACAACCCTGCTGTGGAGACAGTGGGTCATCTCTTGCCAGAGTAGGTGCAAGAAAAAATTCACGTGGTCTAGGAAGAAGAATCTATTTAGATGACTATATAATATAAAATGGCATAATCAATAATGTAGTTTCAGGTCCATCGCCTCAGATTAGTTCAGGTGGCAGACACAGATTTTTTTTTTTTTTTTTTCCTCTCCCTCGAACTAAAATCTGGAGTTTGAAAAAGTACAATTTTTGCTTGTATATACTCACATGGTAATGTCTTACAGTATCATATTTTTTGCCTGTACTTGTTTATACTTGGATAATCCCACCTTCTTCAGAGAGTTTTAGTAGCAATACGGACAGCAGAGCTGAAATGGAAATAGTACAAGCTTTGGAGCCATATTCTGAAAAAATACTGATATAAGAGAACAAGTGGAATTTCTGTCTTTCTTTGGCTGCTTTCATTGTGTTTCTTCTGCATCCCCTAATATTTTTTTGGGAAAACAGTTATGAAGAGCTTTAAACCTTTTCTGTACAAGTGCCCAGCAAATTTAGCATTACTGCTTGTGGTTTAACCCCATCTGACAACTAAGCACCACACAGCCACTCACTCACTCACCTCACAGTCATATAGGGGAAGAAAATCAGAAGGGTAAAAGTGACTAAACTCATGGGTTGAGTGAAAAACAGTTTAATAATTGAAATAGAATAATAATTAAAATACCAATAATGAAAAAAAATTAATGAAAAGGGAAACAACAAAGAGAAATAAAACCCAAGAAAGATGAGTGATGCAAATGAAGACAATTGCTCACCAGCAACCACCTGATGCCTAGCCAGTCCCTGTGCTCCCCCCACCAGCCTTCCCCCAGCTTTAGATAGTAAGCATGATGCCATATGGTCTGGAATTTCCTCTTGGTCAGTTGGGGTCAGCTGTGCCATCTGTGTCCCCTCCCAGGTTCTTGTGCACCCCCAGCCTACTCACTGGTGGGGTGAGGAGCAGAAAAGGCCTTGAGTCTCTGTAAGCACTGCCTGGCAGTAACAAAAACATC